GGACCAAGGTAAGTTCAAACTAATTCGAACTAAGGTACTTCGAACTTCAGCTACGTTATTCACGTAGCTGAAGTTGCGTACCTTAGTTCGAATTAGGGGGGTAGTGTAGACCAAGCCTCACAGATTAATGAAAAGGACTGGTCCAGGACTGAACCGTCCTTCACCCCAAGCCCATGTAACTTTTCTGAGGACATGTCATGTTTGGAAGGATCTCTTTCAGGTTTTATTTTAAGGGACAGATTTTGGTTTTTATCATGAGCCCGGAGGAAGGGGAGGTGTATATTTGTACTGTCCTAGGAGCAATCCAGAGTCTTTCACAGTTGGTCTCTCCTTGCTCCATGAGGGAAATAATCTGTCCCAACCCTTCCCTTGGTCAAGGTTGGTTTCTTTCTATGCCGTCACATACTTAGTGTTACTTTATGTACCCTTGTTTCCTGGCAAGGCTAAACTACTCATTGCCTCTACCATTCAATTTTTAATTAATAAATCTTTTCTTTTCTTTCCCTACCAGGCCATGGTCAAAGAGGCTTCTACTTACTTGTTCAATGCTACAAAACAGAGATTTTTTTTCAAGGCTGTAAAAATTCTAATTCCTCTGCATTGGCTGCCAAAACCTGAGTATTTAAGTGTGAAAACAGAGTCATATGATAAGGTAAGACATAGAGCACCCTTACAAATCAAAAGTATTTGTTGTGTTCATATGCTTAACACATAGGGTCTTGTCTACAAGGTGGAGCAATGCACACTGTGGAGGTATGATTTCTAAAACACACTAACGTGTTGCTCATTAATTGGTCCTTGTTGACCCTGCTGGTGTGTACTAAATATTCCCTTATGCACTTTAACATAGTGCTGCACTTTAGAAATCCCCCCACCCCGTAGTGCGTGTTACCCCACTGTGTAGACAAGCCTTAAGTTTTTCCAATAACGAGGGAATATAAATTGCCCTTTTTAGAATTTGTATTGCCCTCTAGTGCCCAGTCCTGCAGTCCTTACCCAGGGAAACAATCAATGGGGGTGTTCCGTGAGTAAAAGCTGCAGGATGATCCCATTCAACAGAATCATCTGCCACGCTCCATTTCCTGCTGCTCTTTAAACAAGGGCTATTTTATTTTCAGGCAGATGTTATCGTGGCTAATCCTTACTTGAAGCACGGAGATGATCCCTACACACTGCAATATGGAGGATGTGGGGAAAAGGGACGATACATTCATTTCACTCCCAACTTCCTGTTAAATGACACTTTCCATAACATCTATGGATCACGAGGTAGCACAATCTATTAATTTTCTGCTTTTGTTGTTATAAATATGCAATGGCCACGATTTTCAAAGTGACTAGTGATTTGGGATGCGTCAGTTTTTGGTTGACCAACCTGCGAAACTTTAAAAGAGCCTGTTTTTTTCACAAAGTATTGAACATCAGGCTCCCTGGATGAGTCTTAAGTTGAACACTCAGAAATGAGGTCACCTAAAATGACCAGTCTCTTGAAAATTCTGGCTAATATTTTTACAGTAAATGAGGGTTGATTTTCCTCTTAAATCATTGCTTTGACTTGGAGATAATCTATATCCTAACATTATAGTGCAGTAAACTAATCTGAGAGTTGCAGTGGGTGTAACCTGGTGAACATGCAGGTAAAATCAATCCCAGAGGATTCTAGAATAGACCAAACTCTCATGAGTGGATACTGCTCTGAGGACGTGAAGGTTTTTATTGGAACTTCTGAAAGTCACATTTGCCCAACTAACCTTCTTGTAAGTGTACATTCAGAAGGAATTAACAATATTCCCATTTTGATTTCATCAGCACATTTTTTGACTGCATGGGCATTGCCTATGCAAGGCCATTAATAAGCAAATAAAAAAGCCCCAATAGAGACCTCTCAGTTTTATGCAGTGTAACCTGCTGTCATTAACAATGACTTTCTCCTATGCCCATTTAACCAATATACTGTCCAATTTATTTATCTCTGTATACACAAGTTAGAATCAATCATTTATGTGTTTCTTTTAAAATAGAGCTATGTCAAAACCAGTCCCTCAAATCTGAACCCTGGTAAATGTGCAAGGTTATTTGGATTCAAATCCAAGACGAACCTGTATTAGCTTGGATCAAAAATTTAGAGGTTTGTTGGCCTAAAATGGTGGAAATCTCACAAGAACAGTCTTTCTCATCAGATTTCTGGCAGTTTGGGACAAAAATCTCCTTAGAATAATTCATTGGATTCCAGTTAAGTCAAATACAAACCCAAATTCTAGCTGGGTGAAGCATTGAACTCAAACCTTGAATTCTGGCTTAAACTTAATCTGATCTGAGCTCTGCTTCCTTGGCCCATCTTTAGTTGAAAGCTTTAGTTAGACAACATGATATACATTCTCCATGTCAATGGCTTTACCAACACCTCCAAGAAAGGGGTTAGATTGTCTTGGTGAGATAGTTTGGTTTTCTGCAAAAGTATTCTGGTTGTCTAACCTTTTATACTTTATCCGCCTTCAACTATCTACGTAATCCTTAGTTTTATCCTGAACTGAAGTTAAACTAACTTCTCTATGGTTTTCTAATATACACTTTTTCCTTTGTGTTATATAAGAGCCAAGAATTATGATTTTAAAAGAAATGGGTAATATGAGAAACCTTGCTTGATACCAGGAATAGGCACAAGCTACTGTATGGAAACAGATCTTTACTTTAGGTCTGTTAATATTCTGGGAGGGTTAATCTGAACACAGTGATCTATTTGGGTTTCAAGCCGGAGTCCTGTGTGTGTCAAGCAGAGACAATTATAAGACTGGGGCTAAATTTGTTTAAATGATCTATGGAAATATAAAGTAAACTTTAAAGTGTTGTATTTAGAATTCACATTTGCTCCTGCTCTTCCACAGCTAAAGTTTTTGTCCATGAATGGGCCCATCTTCGTTGGGGAGTATTTGATGAATATAATAACGATGCACCTTTCTATGTGTCTGTAAACTCTGGAAATGCAAATGTTGAAGCAACTAGGTACCAGTGTTATTATTATATTTTGTCTTCGGCTGATGAAATTTTAAATATCTCAGTGATACTTGGCACATACTTGATATCTGTGTTCAGTCTGTACTTTGAGCCCTATGTGAAGAGTCTTGTTGAGTTGTTGTTCATAGGATTAAAAAAGAAGCTGTAGGACAATGTTTAACTAACAATATTGCTGCCCAGAGATAAGTCTCATTGAATTATCACTATCGTTTTGTAATGCATCACATTTTTACCACGAAATGAGCTTTTAATTTAGGTGCAATTACAGATTTGAGTTATCGTTCTCTATGTTTTGATTTACCCTGGCTTTATCAAATAGCAGTTAGCACATAGTAAATAAGAATGTTTTCTCAAGTTCCTCTTGGGGGGGATCCATAAAGTTCCAAAACATTCTTACTAGTTCATGTTTAGTGTTATTTAAATATTAAAAAGGGATATGGTCAAAGTACACACCCCATTATTATCCTGTTTTAGTGCTATTACTATCTTATGATAATGTTCTCTAGATTCTGCATATTTAAGTGGGTTTTTTTAATGTACAACTCTGTCAATGAGAAACAAAAAACAGAGTGAGACTGGATATCTCAACGGGTTCAAAATGGGATACAGAACTTTTCATCTCTCAGGCACTGATCTGAACTGGAACCCGTTTGGTAGTGCCTAAAATTTATTACCATCTGCCAGTCAGTTGTTGACCAATGTGAAATAATTGCTGTTTTCAGTCCAATTCCTAATGGACAAGTATCAATATCACCAAACTTCTTTACTGCAATTGGCACTCTAATTGGCAATCACCACTGATGGAGACTGTGACAGGGCTCCCTGCTCCACCCTTTCAAACACTGCAAACCAGGTTTATAAGCATGAGTGTGTTATTTATTAGGTCCTCTCCACCAGTTCATCAGAACAGCCTTGGGCAGCAACGTACGAGTGTACATAAACTTCCCCATAGCCCACTCTCTGGGGTGGCAGAGGGAAATATCTCCTCATCATGTGCCCCTGTATCTCCTGGCATCCTCCCTCTTGCACTTCCTTCCTGCCTCTTAACTGCTCCCAGCTGATGGGTTGATTGCTCTCATTAGCACATCAGGCCTAATTAAGCCATTGAGCCCCTGTTTCCCAGTTAAATCCACTCCAGGGGGAATAGCTGGTACCTTGGTGATCAGAGTGTTGGATCAGCTCTAGCCCTAGAACTCTGTTCCAGAGGCAGTGATTGAACGGGCATGGAGAGTGTAGTACCAGTTCACTTCAGGAGAGGGTCCTTCATGTCTAGATAGAAGCATATCGATGGAATAGTGGAAGCACTTGCACTGTTATTCTTCACATAGATGGTGTTTCACACACAACCTATAAATAATTTCTTGAGGATGCCTCTGGGAAAAAAAGACTACCAGTATTTTATTATTGTAACCACTTATAAATTAGATTGTAAAGTCTTTGGAGCAGAGATGGTGTCTAACATGGGTGGCGGGTATCAAAGGCAGGGGAAGGCTAAGCCTACCCAGACTGTCTGCGTGGCCCCAGCCACACTCCTCCCCTAGACCCCCTCCTGCTTCCGGCTGCGCTCTGCTGTGGCTTTTCCTTCTCATGTGGCCGGGGCCCAGGGCCAGTGGTGCCAGAACCAGTTAGGACCCAGGGGCCATAGCCCTCCCACTTTTTGAAAGTGGACAGGCCTGGCCAGACCCCACCCCTTCTCCTCCTCTTCCCCCCTCAAGCCCCAGCCCCTGGCCAGGTCAGCATGGAGTCCAGCTGAGAAGCCCGGGCAGCTGTGGGGAGCCGTGGCAGACCCTCCATCTGCCCAGGGTGTGAGCGGGGGCTGAAAAGGGCTGAGAGCAGCCCCCGGCCTGTGCCCCCGCTGCCCGGCTGCCCAGGGCAGGAGGAGGGTCTGTGACTCTGCACCAGCTCTCTACAGCTTCCTGCACAGCTCACCCCGACCCGGCTCCAGCCGGGGCGTGCCTCAGAGTTGCAGCCTGGCCAGGGTAAGAGCCACGGACCCTCCACCTGCCCACAGCTGCCCACCCGGCTCTTATAATGGCCAGGCTGCAGCTCTGAAGCCCCACACCCTGGCCAGAGCTGGGTTGGGGAGAGCTACGAGGGCAGCTGTGGGGAGACTGGGCCCCTCCACCTACCCTGGGCAGGGGGCCTGTGACACAAGCAGGGGCTGATTCTACCTCCACCTTGGGTGGGAGCCTCCAGACCTCCCACTCTTGGGAGGGCTCCAGGGCCCTTGCCCCAGGCTGGGCCTTGTGGGGGCCGGCCTGCAGCCAGGGACTCCGGGCGGCTGGAGCCGGTGCTTGTGCCACCCACCAACCTGTGCTCTGGTGGGGGTGGGGCGTGTTGACTGCCCACCACGCTGGGGGCCGCGCTCAGCTCCCTGCCTGCCTGCCACTTTGGGGCTGAGGGCTGTGCTGTGCTACCCACCCACTCGGCACTCCAGGAATCGGGGGGAGTCCTCTGGGCTCCAGCGGGGGAAGGTGGGCAGGAGGGGCAGGGCCCCAGGCAGAAGTGATGGGGCGGTCGGGGGGCTAGCCTCCCCAAGTCCGTGGTTCACCCACTGCCCATGGTGTCTAACTAATGCCAATCATGTTTGGAGGTTTTGGGCCTACCATGATTCAAATAATAAATAACAGATTATTATTTGTTGGTTATATGTGGCTTGTTAGCTAAGCCTCTTCCTATCTCACCTTCCTTCAGATGTTCGGCTGATGTCACTGGTAAATATATAGTCCCAAGCTGCATGGGAAACAGCTGCATGACAAGAGAATGCAAATATGATCAACAGACAAAGCTGTATGAAGCTGGATGTAAATTTGTACCAGAAAAAACACAAAATGTCCCAGCATCTATAATGTACATGCAGAGCCTCCCTTCTGTAAGTATTGTTACTGCTTTTTGACCCAATTGGATAGCCGATATTCGGGGTCTTGTAGATTGTTTCCATTAGGAGAAACTGATATGGAGTAAAGTATTTCTTTGATGCAATCCTGTTTGTTTACAAAGCATATACACAAAGTCCTGTTACTCTGAAGACAGCAGGAATCAAACACCAGGAGGTACTTTCTTTGTTCACAGTTCCAAGCCTCTTTCCACCCATTACTCTGCCCAAAAAACTTCCCCTCTGCTTTCCGAGCAACATTTCCAGTCCTCCCTCCCCATATCCAACATTTGCTGAAGTATCGTGAGATGGATCCACAGGCTTTCATTAACCTTGTCATTGTCAGGCCTATTTGCCTCATCAACCACCCACCCACGCACCCACAAAGGATCTTACTTAGGGCACTGCTTTGCCCTGCAGCTCCCCTCTACTGAGAGAAAAAGTCTGCATGTCAGTGAGCAACCCAGTCCTATGCCAGATACAGATGGAGAAGGTCTGGAGAGAGCGGTATCACCATGAGTTGGGGGTTGATGTCCTTCATGGCATGGAATCATCGTAGAGATGCATGATCCATGACCAGGGTGAATTAATTGCCAAGAAGGTAATATTGGAGTGCCTCCATGGCCCATATCACAGCTAAGTCCTCTTTTTCTGTAATGGAGTAGGCCTCTCTTGGGAACAATTTGTAACTCAGAATGGGATGTTCCTCACTATCAACCACTTGGGAGAAGACAGTCCCCATCTAGCTTCAGAAGCATCAGTGTGGAGGAGGATTTTCTTGGTGAAGTCCAGGCTGTATAAAATGAGCTCCCTACAGAGGTGAGCCATTTGTGACTGAAAGACCTTCTCACAGGTTTCCGTCCAACGGATCTTTCTCGGGCTAATGTTCTTGAGCAGATTGTTGATAAAGGGCACAATAGATGAGAACCCTGCTACAAACTGGTAGTAGTATCCTGCCAGCCACTGCCCATGACCTGCTGTGGACACAGACCATGAGAAGTCCCACCTTCAGGGGTCTCTGTAGCTGCCATGACTTCTCCCTGCTCCGATCTCAGCTTGATTGCGCCTTCACCTTCTGACTCGTACCCCAAAATGTGACTCGGACCATCAGGCTCGGGGTGCCTTTGTTCAATCCCGCATCCATTTCTTTTGGGAGATGGATTGCAGCTGGAAGCATGTCACCTGCCTTTTGGCAGAGGATAGCACCCTCCTCACAGATCTGGTGGAGATGGATGTGCGGGCCAAGACCTTCTATGCCAGCCTCTTCCTGGTCTGACCGACAGAGATGCCTGCAGGGTGCTCTGGGAAGGAGTCCTGACAGTCAGCGCCGGTGACCAGGACCGGCTGGAGCTGCCTCTCACTCTGACCAAGTTCTCAGAAGCCCTCCATCAGATGCCCACTAATAAATCTCCAGGCATGGACGGGCTGACCATGGAGTTCTACTGGGACGTCCTCAGTCCGGACCTTGCCATCATCTGGGCTGAGTCCTTAGGAAGAGGGGTGCCTCTCCTGTTGCACAGGCAAGCTGTACTCACCTTGCTACCAAAGAAGGGGGACCTCCGTGACCTTCAGAATTGGCCTCCCGTCTCTCAGCATGGACTACAAGGTCACAGTGAAGGCCATCTTGCTGTGCCTGGGCTCCGTGCTGGCAGATATGGTCCACCCTGACCAGACCTACACCATCCTGGGCCATCCTATCTTCGACAATCTTTATCTGGTCTGGGACCTCCTCGAGCACGGGTGTAGGGATGGTCTGTCGTTCGCCCACCTGTCCCTTGACCAGGAGAAGGCATTTGACAGGGTGAAACACGGTTATCTCCAGGGCACTCTGCGGGCATTTGGCTTCAGGCTCCAGTTTGTGGGTTTTCTCCAGGTCCTGTATGCCTCTGTGGAGTGCTTGGTCAGGTTCAACTGGACTCTGACCGAACCTGTCAGCCTCGGGCGAGGGATGTGTCAAGGATGTCCACTGTCAGGCCAGCTGTACACTCTGGCCATTGAGCCCTTTCTCCGTCTCTTCTGTAGGAGGTTAACAGGATGGGTGCTCCGTGAGCCAGAGTTGCGAGTGCTCCTGTCAGTGTATGCTGATGACATACTCCTCATGGTCCAGGACCCGGGTGACCTGTCGCAGGTTGGAGGCCTGCCAGGCTATCTATTCGGTGGCCTCCTCCACTGCAGTCAACTGGGTCAAGAGCTCTGGCCTGGTGGTCAGGGATGGATGGTAGCGAGTTCCCTCACACCTGTGCTTCAGGTCATTTGGTGGAGTGTGGGGCCGCTGCTCTATGTGGGCATTTACCTTGCTGCCACCCATCTCTCTCCGCTGGAGAACTAGTAATATTTGAAGGGCAGGCTGGCTGAGCGGCTGAGGAGGTGGACAGGACTGCTCCAGTGCCTTTCCCTGTGGGGGAGGGCACTGGTGCTCAACCAGCCGGTACTGTCCAGGTTCTGGCACCGGCTCAACACCCTGAGCCCGGCCTGGGATATCCTGGCCTGGCTCCAGAGGTTAGATCTTTTGGCCAGGATTGCTCTGTGTCTCTGGAAGGTGGTTTGAGTCTTCCCCTGGAGGAGGAAGGACAGAGCCCATTCTGCCTTTGCAGTCAGGTTCATCTCCTCTGCCTCCAGGCCCTGCAGAGACTCCTTTATGGTGCAGGTAGTTGAGCATGGCGCACGTTGATGCACGCCTTCCTTCACCACATCTGAGGGCTCCAATATGACTGGCAGCTCTTTTATCTCCGATTGGTCTTCTGCAAGACTTCTACCAGGATCTCCTCCAGACCTGAAAGCTAGTTTTGGTGACCAGGTCTGTGGCGGCCAACAGCAGATCTCATCACAGAGGCTCTGCTACACAACCTCCAACTTGGTTTGCAGGTGGCAGAGTCCCACTTGGTACACCAGAGCTTGGTCCTGGCAGGAACGACCAGAATTGAAGACCTTTTGGACTATGACCGGGGATTGGGTGGATCCCCTGGCACTTCGCCAGCGCAAGGGGCTCTCCATCCCTCATACTTCCCAGTGTGTACTCTAGGAGGTGCGGGCAGCCTTATTACCCGCCTCTCAGTTTTTCCTTGAGCAGATCCTGCAGGAGGGTGCTCCCCGCCCGCCCCTCACCCCAGGCCCTCCAGACCTTGTTATTGGCCCCCTGCTCTGCGAGCTTCCCCACCCACCCCGCACCACCAGCACAAGTCCTGTAGTTTCTGTGCCACCATCCAGGACCAGGCCCCCAGGGATATCCAATCAGTTTAAAATGGCCACCTTGCCACAGACTTAAACCTTGCCATCGGAGGCATAATCCCATGCTATCGCTGGGTCTAGCCCACAGTAGGCAGCCTGTGGTTCTGTCCTAGTTAAGTAGGTGACGGGTAAGACTGCTCAGTGCTCCGGCGGCCACAGTGCTGCCACCCATTGAAAAATTTCAAGAAAAGTCACTGGATCATCTTCAGGCCCCATCTTCATGAATCTAACCAGCACGAGGGCCAAGGCCAGGTCCGTGTCCACCAGACCCATGGTGGAAGCCTGGCCACTGTGGGAGGCTGCAGTCAGGTCACACCCTGTTGCACCAGCCTTTGTCGCTGTTGCTGCTGAGCAGCTAAGTCTCAAGTCAGTTGCTGCTGCTGAGTGGCCATTTGCTGTAGGAGCCACTGTTGCTGTTGGTGTTGCTGGGTGTTCTGCTCCGCCATTGATTTCAGTAGTTGCTCCATGTCCATACTTCTGGGGAGTCTCTTCCTTATGTGTGTTGATTTTTTTTAAATGTCCTGACCTCCTCCCTTCCCCTGGTGCTAGGTCTGTGCTTGCATCCTCCCCCAAGCTTGTTCTGCATGGGTCCATAGGTTCTCATTAACCCTTTCATTGCCAGTGTGGGGCCTATCTGTCCCATCACAGGTGTATGGAAATACCCTGACATTGTGGAAACTTTTGCTCCCGTTTGGGTCAGATAACAAAGTTACCCAGCTGGGGCATTTTCTGTTACAACACTGAGAAGGTTTATTCCTTTGTGACAGTCTAATCCTGTGATGTGCTAAGCTCCCACTAACATGTATGGATATTGAGTGTGCTCAGCAACCTGCTAGAGACACTCCGCACCTTACTTCTGGAGCTTTGAAAATATTCTATGGGCTAACTTCTGCCCTCCGTGGAGTAGCAAGGGGGACAGACACAGTGAGCTGTTCATCCTCTTTAAAAGTATTCCTGCCAGCCAGGAAGATCAGAGGGTTTTTGTTTTGAAAACTTTTCCCCTTCTGCATGATTTTCCCCTGGCAGAGTATGTTGTGTCCCACGTGAGTTAGAGCCTTATGTATCAACGCACTGAGACGCCATAGTAACTACATAACTGTGAACTTTACTGATGATGTCTGCATTGCCAGGGCATCCTTACAACACTGATTAAATATCTACACTGCCCTCAGAGGTATGACGGAAGTTCAGGTACGCATATGAGTGCTAGCTTTAATCTAGCTAGCGAGGCTAAAAATAGCAGCAAAGACATGCTGGCATGGACACTGGTGCAGGCTAGCAATGTGGAGTATATATCCAGGGTTCTGGGTGGGTTTGTACAGCCCATGCTGCCACATCTTTACCTCTATCAATAGACAAACTAGCTGGATTAAAGATAGAATGTGTATGCCCGCCTGAGCTCCAGTCATACCTTTGATTGAAGTGTGGACATACCTGTGTAACCCCTAAGACAGATTCTTTGGGAACAGTCTTCTTTGATGACTTCTTCCAAGGTCCAGGACATAGAAGGATTTTATTCTCTATGGCCTATAGAGCAGGCAAAGAATTTCTGTATTTGTGGTTGTGGTGACCAATCGAAAAATAGTAGACTGGGGTTTGCTACTACATGTGTTCACTTGCTTTTGAGTAATCATTCTTCTCTTCCAATTGGCTTTTTTTAGGTGGTTGAGTTCTGTGATCAAAGTACTCATAATGAAAAGGCTACAAATATGCAGAACAAAATGTGCAACTACAAAAGCACCTGGGAAGTAATTATGAATTCTCCTGACTTCACAAACACCTCGTCAATAAATAGCACAAGTCCTCCGTTTGAGACCACCTTCTCATTGCTGCAGACCAAAGACAGAGCAGTCTGTCTAGTACTTGATGTTTCTGGGAGCATGGACGGGGTAAGAATAAACATACACATTCTTTTCTTTTTTTTTCAGAACTGCTTAGAAACAGTTAGGCAGTTATAAAACAATGTGGTGTACATATATTACAGTATTTTCTTTAGTCAATATTTCCGTAATCATTGTTTATTCTTTAAGAAAAAATTGAGGCCACTATTTCTCCCATTATACCTATTTAGGGATTGCTAAAAGGAAACTCATCAAATTCCTAAAAATGATATGCCGGACTTGGTCTCTTTTTCTTTACAAAATATAACTTGTGCTCCTCTTTTTAGTTTCAGATCCAGAATGTCAGAACCACTGTACTTCCCCAAAACAGAAAATATATCATAGATGCAAGTTGCAGGATATTTTTCATATGTGACTCTCTCAAATTATTTAAAAAATAAATATATGTCACTAGTATAGCAAAATAAAAATGAAATGCTTTTCCTCATAATCATTCATCCTAATGAGTCAAGAATGTGGGTTGTCATAATTGATGCTGGATTAATCAGGGTGAGGCTTTTTTTTAATTTAAATTCAGCACAATTCTCATCTTGCAGAGGCTGCTATAGGTGATATGAACCTTTACAGAGACTCTCAATCTCTTTAGGGCCTCAAATTTCCATTCTTAAAGTAAATCCAATATAAATTCCTTGAATAAGGTGTGTTCATATGTATAAATATCACATAGAAATGAGAGTCATGTGATAAGTTTGCCACATTTTTTGCAATTTATCCTGTACCTTTTCAAGCTTCACCTGCCTTCTGCCCATAAATCCATCTCCCCAGGTTTTATTCTTACATTCCAAACCACTACCCAGCTTCCAAGAGCTATTTTTATATGAACCTCTGTTGTATTCTTTCCCTAATATACAGAATTTCCTCATCCCTAATTTATTTGTTTCAAACATTCAATCCTGAGCCAGTGACAACGTCTGTTCTCAAACATGTTATAACTTTCAAGTTTGATATCTCACTGACCTTCAGGGCTAGAAATAGGACCTTCTCACCAGTATATTTCTGGGAAGAGAAGATCCTCAGCTTCCTTGTGGGAGGCACAACATCCTTTTGTGCCCTGGAGAGGCCCCAGATATCTCGCTTTAAAATTGTGGCATCTTTATGTCTGAAGGGAAAAAGTATGTAATTTTTAGAAGTCTTTATGAGCCCTCTATGGGTTGAATAATGATAACAAAGGCTCCTGTCTTTACAGGTGGGGGATAAAAAGTGGTCCCAATATAAAAAAATTAAAACCTCTCTAAAACATTCCAAGAATGCTTTCTTCTATCATACCAAATATAGTCAGTCAAAATTTCATCATGAAATAATAACATTAGAATCCCCAGTTCATGCTATATCACACTATCATGTACTCCATAAATATTATTGTAAAGTATAAATAAGTGTTCTACTATAACTTTCTTTAAAATACAAGTATTTTAGGTCTTCAGTTCAACAATCAACACAGGCACAGCATGTAAATGCGCCAAACTTTTCTCTCTAGAGATAATACTTCAAATTCTAGATAACAAGTGAAAATGAATGTAGTGTTCTCTAATGATTATCTATCCTCAACTCACAATCAAATGTTTTAATACAGCTGACATTCCTTCTTCTGGAGAGATTTCAAATTAGAAAAGCTTATGTAGACTAGTACTATGAGCATTTTACTGTCATTAGCATCAAATTCAACCCAAAGCTATTGAAAGGCAAACAAATACTAGATTTCCAGAGATAAAAGATATAAATCAGCCCATCCCTTAATCTTAACATAGGAGAGGAAGAGAATCCTTAACTAGATCAAGAATAATGACAGCTAGTTTTATAGAGAAAGGAAAGCTTCCAAGGGTAAACTTTCTCAGCTGGTTTTCAGAAATCTGTTCAAATATTTACATTTAAAATAAGCTCTTTGAAAATTTGGTAATTTTAGTGAAAGTGCCAAGAACCTGTGAAATAGAGGGGCTATCCTAAAGCATAGGTAGGTTGAATACTGTTCTCTGAGGCTGCAGCCATTTTACCTAAACAAATTATGTGAAAGAGAGAACCTTATTTGTGAGGAATATCACCACATTATTAGAATGCTGTTTGGCTGACACTGTTATATATCTCCTGGATGTTTCAATATGCAGATACCCTTCAATGATAGCAGAACATAGTACACATCTCCACTGGTCTGGAAAGAATATGCCTGGGGATGATATGTAAGGTAGTTTGGGCTACCCAGATATTTGGTATTTGTCTAATTTTCCATATTTTCCTCTCAAATCTCTTATCTACTCTATGGCAGTTACATTCCCATTTATCAGTACAAACTGAACAACATTAGTAATTGCTGTATTCTTGCTTTTTGCTATCTCTCTTGAAAAGTCTTGATACTTCTAAGTTCGTCCCTTTCTTCACCTGCAGTATAACCGCATTAATCGTCTGTACCAAGCTGCGGAGATATTCCTGCTACAGATTATCGAAATGGGTTCCTGGGTTGGAATTGTCACATTCCAATCTACAGCACAAATTACATGTAATCTACGACAAATAGTCAGTGAGAATGTACGCCAGGATCTCATCAAATGCCTGCCTACATCAGCTGGTGGAGGAACTAAAATCTGCGAAGGAGTATACAAAGGATTTGAGGTGAAGGAGAACTTGGGGGGAATGTATCCTGGAATGCAGTGATAATCAAATGGAACTGGAAGGAGAATAGTGAGGAGGAGTAGGGAGGTGATATCACCTCTGTGTACAGCAGTACTGAGATCATTACTGAACTACTGTCTCTGGTTCTGGTGTTCACATTTCAGAGAGGATGTTGGGGAAACTGGAAGGGGTTCAAAAAGACAGCTACAAGAACAATTAAAGGTTTGGAAAATGTGTTTTATAGTGAGAGATTTAGGAAGCACGATCAAATTAGGCCCTGAAACTGCTCCTATTGAACTAAGAAATTAACAAGGCCCTGCTATGTTTATACTGGCAAAAAAATTGATTGCTTTGAGAAAAATCTTACAAAAATGCTTTGTCGGAATCTCAAGGCATTGTGCAGAAGATCAAAATCATATAATTTCTCATATAGAAAATCCAAATTTTGTTTATTTTAACCTTGGTTTAAGCATGGTTTTATTCTGAAAAGTGATTATGTAAAATGGTACCTTCATGCTCCATAATTTCTCAAGTCACTTTCCAGAATGGGCATGGACAGGCTTCCACAAGTCCTGTGCATATGCTGTCATTGGCACTGGCAGCAGGACCTGGAGTGGGGACCGGCAGACAAACGTTACTACTACTTGGAATGCTGTAAGAGGTGTGCTACCCTTAGACACCTCTCCCCTGAAGCATCCTGCCCTGTACAGACATTGTAATTCAGACACCTTCAGTTCAGCCATTGCCACATGACACAGCCTCCTACACCAGCACAATTCACACTTGTAAGGAAAAGATTTTGCCTTACACTTGCACTTTAAGAATTTCTCTTGATGTAGACACTGCCTGTGTTAGAACAGCTAACATTTACAATAAAGTCCTATTGCTAATACCTGAAATTTTCTTCTCAATTCAGGTGATTAAACAAAAATACTCTAATCTCGATGGTTCTGAAATTGTACTGCTGACAGATGGAGAGGATCGGACTATGAGCAATTGCCTTACGGATGTGAAAAACAAAGGATCGATCATTCACACCATTACCTTGGGGCCAAGTGCTGCTCCAGAACTAGAACAATTTTCAGACATGACAGGTAAGTAAGTTTCTAAACTAATCCTGCTTTTGGCATGCACACCTTAAGCATGAAATGTAAAACTGGAGTGGTTTACAGCTTGTAATATGAAAAGAAAATAAGGTCAACTAATTCCAGTTGTATTTACAGAATGTTTATTTTTAGATGAATAAACTCAACAATATTGGAAGCAATCGTTTATCTTTTATCTGTTCTTGCTTTAAAAAAAAACCTTTATCCTGATAACACCCTGCTTAATAGCGAGATTTGATAATTATATTACTGGAGGATGTTCCTGTAAACAAAAAGATAAGCTCAGTGTTTAAATTATTAACGTTTTATTTCTGATGTTTACATAGCAGTGATATGCAAACCTATTAATGTCCTAAGTAGTTAAATAATGACCAACTCACAAACAGTCACAGCTGGAGGACTCTAGTTGAGGAGTCAGCAACCACAGTCTCTATACTTGCAACTGGGAGACTCAGTCAGCTCTGCTTTGAGTTGGAGCTGCACTGTTCCTTTGAACTTCAGCCATTTTAAGGAAAGCCAGATAGGTGCTGGGTGATGCTGCAGTACAGGGTAACTACCATGGGAATTCCATGTGTTGATTTATAATGTAGCTGTACTCTGAATAGTGACTATGTATAAATTGCACCTTCTTAGTCAACAGAGATGCCCCTTTTGTATATTCAGAGTGACATCTGCTTGCTTTAGGGACTTAAATAAAATTGTACTGCTTTTTACTCTTGTTAGCATTGTACAGCCAACATGGCTCTGAGAGAACAACCTGAATTCAGTTCTGGTTTGTGTATTATAACAGAATAGTTCACTAAGTTCTGATCACAGAATCTTTAGTGTTAAGTGATAGATGTGTGAGCCAAAAAGAACCCAGCTGGACTTTCAGAGCCCAGTCTCAGCGGGCAGAGCTCACTGTTTGAAATAAATGGCCAGATTTCCAAAGACACTGAGCAGCAGAAGTTCCCATTGGCATTATGGGTGCTCAGCACAAATAAAAAGAGGCCCAAACGTTGTATTTGTAAACTAAGCAGATTTGATCTGAGTCACTGAGAAACAATAATCATAGAATGCCACCATGTCATTTTTACAGAGGTGTTTTTCAGAGTGGAATTGCACTTTACAGGTCCATGGCTCAGAGTGCAGACTTTCCTAGCTCAGCCAATGAGTGAGCACTGTACTGGATGAAGTGCTACAGGTGACAATTCTTAGTCAGACCAAGCTAAGTGGACTTAAAATGTGAACAGATGGGATCATTTCCCAGGTCAGACTTGCTTTCTGCAGGAACTTTCTGGGTGTTTGTATGAATTGATTCCCCACCACCGAGCGGTTCCTCCCTTCACTGCCCCATGAATAAAGGATAAAGGAACAAAATTTAATTGATCAGATTAACACTGTGCACTATAGCAACAGCCAAACTAGCACAAGGTACATAACAAAAACCTAGTGTTTTATAGTAAATGACTATTCTGATTATTTTAACAATCACATTTCAGGAGGCTTAAAGTTCCATGCCACAGATAAAGTTGATTCCAATGGCCTAATTGATGCATTCAGTGGAATTTCATCAGGAAGTGGAAATATTTCTGAACAGCCTATTCAGGTCTGAGTTTCAAATTTTGTTTGTTTTTCACATTATTAATCAGTTACTGGTCAATTAAGAGTAATGTTAGTAGTCTGTAATCTTAACTATTGCACTGTCAGTGACTGATCTTAAAATATAAACGGATATTTGGAAATGGCAGTGTGTGTGTGTGTGTGCTCTGTTATTAACAATAAAATGAAACAGATAATGAAACAAAGAAAATTAAAATTTCTCACCATTAGCTAATGCAAAGGGACTTATATAGCTAGAGGTAGGCAGAAATACTATAGTATGTGTAGAATGCTGTAAATAAGTGATCTTATCTTCCAGAGAATAGTTACTATACTAACGTTATCAATAATGAGGAAACTATCTCAACTGCTTCTCTTATACAAAATAGATAACATTTTGATTCCCAGCTTTCCTGACACTTCTCATGATCTATTTCAACTCAACGATGATTTCTTCAAAATAATTGAGGCTAGTAGTACTGAGTTATCCCCTCCTCCTATTTCTACAACAGGTCTTGGGTTGTGCTATCTATAACTTAACAACTCATCCCTCACTTTATTAAATCTCTGCTATGGACCCACTTTTGCACTTTATCTGAATCATGCATAGCAACTAATATAGGTTTGATCATGGACTCCTTAGCTTCTCTGCAATTGTATACTGGTCTTGATAAGAACTTAAGAATTTTGTGAGATCCCTTTGTAACTCTTTGCAGTCAGCTATTTAACTTTTACAGTTAACTATTTTGTATCCTGTGCAAACTTTGCCACCTCACTGTTTTACCCCTTTTTCCAGATCACTTATGAATATGTTGAACAGCACTCGTCCAATACAGATCGCTGGGGAACCCTGCTATTTACCACTCTCCATTCTGAAAATTCACTATTTATTCCTACCCTTTGTTTCCTGTCTTTTAACCAGTTACTGATCCAGGAGAGGAACTTCCCTCTTATCCCATGGCTGCTTACTTTGTTTAAGAGCCTTTGGTGAGGGACCTTGTCTAAGGCTTTCTGAAAGTCCTCATACAGTATAGGCACTGGATCACTCTTGTCCACTTTTGTTGGCCCCCCTCAAAGAATACTAATACAGTAGATTGGTGAGACATGATTCCCCTTTACAGAAGCCACATTGACTCTTGCCCAACATATCACATTCATCTATTAGTCTGATAATTCTGTTCTTTACTAGTTTCAACCAATTTGTCTGGTACTGGAGTTAGGCTTTCTGCCCTGCAATTGCCAGGATCGCCTCTGGAGCTTTTTAAAAAACTCAGCATTGCAAAAGCTATGCACCAGTCATATGGTACAGAGGCTGATTTAAGCAATAGGTTACATACCACAGTTAGTAGTTCTGCAATATTTGAGTTCCTTAAGAAATTAAGAATACCATCTGGTCCTGGTGACTTATTACGGTTTAATAGATCTATTTGTTCCAAAAACGCCTATACTGGCACCTCAGTCTGGGATAGTTCCTCAAATTTGTCACCTAAAAAGAATGGCTCAGGTGTGGGAACCTCCCTCACATCCTCTGCAGTGAAGATTGATGCAAATAATTCATTTAGCTTCTCCACAAAGGTCTTGTTTTCCTTGAGTGCTCCTTTAGCACTTTGATCGTCCAATCGCTTCACTGATTGGTTGGCAGGCTTCCTGCTTCTGATGTACTCAAACAAAACAGGAAGAGGACCAAAACAGTGCCATCATGACTAAACAGCAGAGTAAACAGATGTGGTTAGAAACAAAGACATGTTTTAAAAATTGGAAGTCAAATACTACTGAGGAAAATAGAACAGAACAAACTTTTGTAAATCAAGTGTAGAAGTATAATTAGGAAGGCCAAAAAAGAATGTGACGAGCAGCTAGCAAGAGAGACAAAAACTAACAGCATTTTTTTTTATTTGAGGTATACATATCTTTTGAGCCTCTATCTTGGTGTTTTTTAAAAGGTTGCATGCAATTTGAAGGCATTTCACTCCTCCGACTGTTCCTTTTAATTTCCATTTAACCTCCTCATTTTTGTGTAGTTCCCTTTTTTGAAGTTAAATGCTGCTGTGGTGGGTATCTTTGGTATTTTGCCCCCTACAAGAATGTTAAATTTAATTACAGTATTGGTGCTATTGCCAGGAGGTTCAGCTATATTCACCTCTTGGACCAGATCCTGTGAACCACTTAGGTCTAATTAAGGACATGCATCTCCATTTGTGGGTTCCTGGACTAGCTGCTACAAAAAAATAATTAATGATATCTAGAAATTTTATATTTGCATCCCATCCTGAGGTGACAAATTCGTAATCAATATGGGGATGGCTGAAATCCCCCATTATTATTGGGTCTCCTGTTTTTGTAGCTCCACTATAACATCTATTCAGGAGAAAGAAAAGAAAATGTTTCTTTATTTTCTGGGCTATTAACAGCTATTAAAAGACAATGTATCTCACTTTCTAAGCACTTATACCAATCTGATCACTAGAGTACCATCTGAATACCTGACTTTCAAATGTCCACCCAGATGCTCTTTGAAATAGGGTTTCAGTATCTAGTTTCCCATTTTTATTCTAAACAAAGTTATTTTATTAAAAGGTACTTTTTCTAATTGTAGTTTTTCTAAGCCATAAAATGGAAGTGAGCAAATCTACTTGCAGCCTGGTAGTTCAATGGGACACTATAAAACTCATATTGGTAGCTTATCTGTAAATTCTGGTAGCCCACATGTGCAATACCATTGTTGATAAAGGAAATCTTGTTTCTCTTCTTGCTGTGTTTTATTATTTTTGTTTGTGTGTCTCTCATTGATTTTCTGTTGTCCCTGCCTGTGGTTATATCACTCTCTCATTGTGCTGTCTTTCTGGAAGCAGGCTGACAGCTGGAGAGGAAATGTAGCACTAATCTCCTGCAAAGATATGATTTGATAGCTAGGTGGATAGACCACAAAGAGCGGTGGCAGAAGACCTTTGGTTACTATATTTTCACATTCGTAAGCAATTGTACTTTGCAAATGAGCACTACAGAAAATTTGCTCAGGGCTTAATCATTCCACTCCCTTCAATGGCTAGTCCACGTGGCCCTCGCCCTCTGGCTAGTTCCCCATGTGTGGAGGCACAGTGGCAGGAGGCTTCTGCCTCCTTTGCACAGCCCTGAGCTCTGCACAGAACAGCAGAGACCTGCTCATCATGGTGTAAACAGGCCTGTTACAGCATTAGTACTCCTCTATCCCCTCTTCCAGCAGTGGGCCAGTAATTCACCAGCCAGTCAAGGTGCCCTCTGAATGGGCAAAATATTGATTTGTTCTCCCCATTAAGAGGAAATGAACCACTCTGTAATTACTGGTATTTTAAGCGTTTATCTCCTAACTAGCCATAAAACATATTTTATTTGTCTAACAGCTTGAAAGTACAGCTCAGAGTGTTGCAGTCAAGCAGTGGATGAATGGTACAGTGACTGTAGATAGCACTGTGGGAAAGGACACCTTCTTTGTAGTAACATGGGATCGAAGCACATCTCCACCAGACATTTTACTGAAGGACCCCAAAGGAAAAGAATATAGAACATCAAACTTCACAGTTAGTAATCTAAATCTCCAAACAGCTCGACTGAATATAGCAGGCACTGCAGAGGTAAAGACTAAACTTTTTTTTGTTATCTAAACATATTAACATTTTCATAGACTAAAATGCACCTTCTCTTTTTAGAAGTTATAAACACATATTCCTAATGAACCAATGTTATCCTTGGTGTAACTCCACTGACTTGCAATGGAAGTTGGGTATCTAACTGTTGTTTGTGCTCATCCTAATTTTTTATTATGCTCTATACACATCCCAAGTATACAAGACTGCCAGACAAAACATTGAATTCTGGGGAAGTTAAAGTTGAGAGTACATATCTATAATATACAGGTTCTAATCCTTCCAAGAATATGATAATTCTCAAACATCCACCACTAAAACTGAGCAAATTCAGTTAAAAGAAACCAAACATTTGAGAGCATGAAGAATCATAAGTAAGGTACCCAAATTACCTTACCTGTGCTCCTGTAGCAATACCCTAACTGCCCTTTGTGCCTTGGAAAATCTCCCTTGAACTAAAATGATAATTAACTAAGGGAAACACAAAGCTGCCCTTAAACTAATGAAGTCTTATATTATATTTTTATGCTCCATATATTTGATTTGCAGGTGGGGAATTGGTTATATTGGATTCAAAATAACCACACAGAATCTCAAGTCATATCAATGATAGTAACATCTCGAGCAGCATCTTTGGCTGTGCCTCCAGTGACTGTGAAAGCCCACATGAATAAGGATACAAACAACTTCCCTAATCCAATGGTGATTTATGCAGAAGTTAGTCAAGGATTTTTGCCTGTTCTTGGTGCAACCGTGATGGCCACTATTGAACAAGAGACTGGATCTGCAGTGGAGCTCAAACTCCTTGATGATGGTTCTGGTAATCTGATTATTACTTTCCTTACATTTTTATCTAGAAATGTATACACATCACAAAATGTGGTATGTATTTTAGAATGTCTCTGCACACTGCTTCCAAACTTATCACTAAGGGTTAAGTCTTGCCTATGCCATGAGCACAGAACAAGGGGAAGCAAGTGGAGGGAGATAGTAACTCTGGTCTCCCCACTGCTTCAGGATGAGAGTAAACTGCACTGGGTCTAAACTGGTGCAGCATGTGTGCCATGACATGCTGGTGCACTTACACTGTTGGGTGTGATAGGAAGGAGGAGAGAGAGAAACAGTGCCCAAGAAGAAGGGAGTGTCGTGGTTGTGCAGAGCCTTCTCCCTCTCCTGTGCTGTTACCCATGATGCCAATAGCCAGCACAGGGACAGAAGGGGGTCTATTGCCTTGTGTGTCTGATTCAACCATATTCACTGTTTGAACTTATGTATATTTTACATGATGGTCTGCCCTGCAGAGGGGATGCAGGTGGCAGAACAGGAGAGCAAGAGTCTGTTTCTATAGCTTGTCACATGCTATATAGGCAGTATAGCCATGTTAAAAAATCTCCTTCGAAAGTATGAATTACATAGATTATTATTCTACCATTCCAATCTACTGTGCCTACAGAGGTGATGTGATTCAAATGCACAGTTCTGCTGTTCTCCAACTTCTCCATTATCTGAACCATGTCACGCAAACTGTAGACTCTCTCCTCCCCACATTCCAGCATTGCTTCAATCTCAAAGTATTTTAGTCTGCAGACCACCAAGAAGGGCTCCACAGATCAGACCAATATGGAGAACTACTAAAAAGCAGTTGAGAACTACTGGCCTATTGGTTACTATTGGAAACAACAGTAAATACACAGTAACATGTTTTAATGCTACATTGTTATCTGCAGTTAAATATGTAATGAGCTCATGTCACCACAATGGGACTGATCCTGTTTTCACCTAAGTCCGTATCAAAGCTCTTATTGCTTTCAATAGAAGAAGGAGTAGGCCCTATGTGTTTCTGAACTGAACAGCAAAAAAATGCCCTTGCTTAACAGAGGTACCTTGTTTGGATGGTTAATTATTACTATTTGTATGTCTAGGTGCTGATATTACCAAGAATGATGGAATCTATTCAAAGTACTTTACATCTTTCAAGGGAAATGGTAGATACAACTTAAAAGTGCATATCCAGGGGAGAAATCAGACTGTCAGACTTGGCCGCAGGCAGAGTCGAGCCTTGTATGTTCCAGGCTACATAGAAAATGGTAAGGAACATTCATTAAATAGAAAATACTCTCTCTCTCTCTCTCTCCTCTCCTCCTCTCTCTCTCTCTCTCTCTCTCTCTCTGTGTAAAGTAAGTAAAAATATGGGTGAATGGGAGATCATTTAGCTTCACAAAAAGCTTTTTAAACTTAACATTTGTTACATGTATCTTTTCCACTATTGTTTATCTTTTAGAAAACAGTAGCTGGAACCACAGTATTTTTGCTATATATGAGCACTGGGTATAGTACCATATTTTATAAATATATATATTATAATAATTCAGTTCTCTTTGGAACACATGGGAGTTGCCAAAGATCCTGGAACTGAAAATCATATTAAAAAATAGCTGAAGTTAGACATTTTAAATTTGTATGTTTTACTGAGACTTAAAAATAAGGTTTCAGGGAATCAGTTTCAAAGTTATGAAATTTTAAAGTTATCATTTAATGCCGCCACATGAGAATTTTTCTGTTCTTCTGTTGGGTTTTCTGGACACATTGTTCAGGACTCTTTCCATTAGGCCTGTGTGAGTTAAAGATTCTCAGTTCTAGAAACCACAGGTATGGATACTGCTATTAAGATCTTGCTGCTTAAGCCTTCTCAATCAATGGAGCTTCAATTAATGTTACTTTTACAATGAGTCTGTTACGAGTATGTTGAGACTTAGTATATTTTTTCATCTTTCCATTATTTTTGCATTTCTCTTTTGATCTAAAGGCCCCAGAGAAATCAAGTGCAACGAAAACAGTTAATTCATCATTAAAATATACTTTTATTCTGAAAAGTGATTTTATAAAATTAGTATTGTCGAATTCTACACTTGTGTCTCAATCGCTTCAGAACAAATTTGTTCTAGTTACAGGTTAGCAACATGGCTGTTCTAACTCCCAGCCCTGCAGACTTAGCCTAGGATCTGAAAAACAAGTTGTGTTCTTTCTGGTTTGTGCATTGTTACCGGGGTCTGCAGGCCAAATGCCATGCTCAGTATATCTATGCAACCCTCTGGCCTTCAGTGGGATTGTACAGGTGTAACCAGGGCCGACGAGACTTGGGGGAAGCCGGTACAAATTACCAGGGCCCAGCGGTCTGGAAGGTGGCCCGGGGCCCGGCTTTCCCCTCCTTCCCCTGTTGGCCCTGTTTAGCTGATCTGCCCTTGCTAGGGGGCCCGAAAAATTTTTTCACCGGGGCACAAACCCACCCTCGGCAGCCCTGGGTGTAACTGGGGGCATAATTTGAAGGCACTAGTTACAGAGTTTGCTCTGCAAATGGATCTTGACTGTGAATAGTTAGCCAACGAAAACAACAAGGAGTCTGGTGGCACCTTAAGGACTAACAGAT